TGGACCGGAACATAGTAGGGCATTTAAAAAGTCCTCGTTGTTAATTAGTAAAATGCGCCGCACTCAAAGGATAACTTTTTCCTCCAGTTGAAGCTGATTGCACCGCCCAAATTTCTCGCCCCTTATCGAAAAGGTGGTCGACATAAGCTAAGGAAAAGGCGTAACTTTTATGTTCTGAAACTTAAATTAACTTGGTATTTTATTATTTCTCACAGTCTATTAATAACATTAATACAACAGCTTTCACGTCAAATTGCGTCAGTGGATCAAAGACGTTCATTAGTTGACTGTACTAGCACAGCGGTCAAATGGGCATGCACAAGGGTCAGTTCTGACCAGCCGCGCGCAGAATTTTGACCGCCGTGTCCCAGGTTGTAGCCGTTGTTTGCTCACGTCACGTAAAGTGACCTGGTGAAGGAAAAAATGTGTTGCATGTAAAGACTTAAAAGACGGCTTCGGAGGAGACCAAACTGTCATGGTAACTGAAAAAAAACCCTTATTTTTCGATCACACTACAGCATCTACAGTTACTTCCTGATCCAAGTATTTCATTGCGCATAAATCTATACAGTGTTTCAACCAACAGGGAGTGAACATGAATTCAATGAGCGAAGTACTTCGCACTTTTTACAAAAGTAACTTTAATGCATTTAAGTAAAAACAAAAGCACTTTAAAATTTCGACAGATGAACAACTGTGATCAACATCAAAATAGCGGCACAAATTTTCTCTTGAAACACGTTAAATGAGTACAGTTCGACATGTCCATCTAAGGCTGAGTTGTTCAAAGTATGACTGGCAGTGAGCCAGGTTTAACTGGACTGGCAGTAACCAAGGCAACAGTGTCCTAAAGTTTTGAAAAACTCAGCCCTAAAAAGCTTTTGATGTTTTACATCTAATAACATTAAATTTAATGATATCGTCTCCAATTTACTTAACGCTTCTTTAATAATATTTTTCAAGTTGTTTTTGTTGCTAGAGACTTGCGTAGCTGCATTACAAGGTGTTTAATGTCCGAAAAAATTATTTTTCTACGAGCCTTAGAGTAAAAAGCCCAAGTAATTAGCCCTTTAACTCCCAGAAGTAATCAATATGTAACTTCTCCTTATGATATCCATACATCGTCCAGCAAACAGGCAGTGAGAATACTCAAACTCATCAATTAGTGGCTGGTTCCTTGTTTGAGCAGCAAATTCTCGTAACCAATTAACAAGGAAATGTGCTGCAGCTAGAGGGGAGAATTAAAATTCAGATCTTGGGAGGTAAGGGTTAACAAGGAACAGGGAGAAACAGCACTAGGAACAAATTGGTAATCCAGGTGAAGACAAAGCAAATTGTCCAAACCGCGTCAAAGGGTGACTAAGAAAGTCGCATTTGGTCCGTTACTATCGCATTTTACTCTTTCACTTGCAAGATCGCAATAGTAATTCTCCTTATGTCTGCCATACTATTTTTATGATGCTAGTTTGGAGAATTTGGTATTGAATCAACAAAGAATCCCTCTTAAAATTGATATATTTCTGTGTTCTCATCACTTGTCAGCTTGTGATTGTACTGAAATTGTAATGAGAGCTTATGGAGGCTTAAGTCCTGACATCTGCTTGATCGAGACAATGATGTGTGAAATCTCTGGATCAATCACAAGATCAAGTGTAGCAAGACCAATGCAGTTCCGTATCACTTTCTACACAGTTAGGAGGGGTCCTCTTTGTACGAATTCGAGTTACCTGTTAACCCGAGTTCAATCACTGAGAAGGAAAACCTTATGCAGTGAAATGTTTGTAAGCGGTTTACATGCGAAAAAGCTGGATCAGCTCTTCTCGCTGGGTTGACCCGGCTAGGAAGACCGTGATGTGTTCTTTTCTTTCATTTTAACACTGGCAAACAAAAGTTATCCTAGGTTGTTACTTTAACTTTATAAATAACCATGCGTATTTGTTAAGTTGTTCATAATTCTACAATTTCTACATTAATTTGAGTATCATCGCTAGTTGAATGCGCATGAAGTTCCATTTTCACAAAAGAAATAATTAAAAGCTCTTGCAATCAAACGAAGCTTTCCGCAACAATTACAAAGTAGGTATGTAATTACAAAAAAGAAGTCCTTCCGTGATTTTCCGACATCCTCTTATCCTTGCAATAAACATTTCTCAGCATTTCTCCATTTCGTTTTCTTGATTGTAGGTGTAAGATGCTTTTTCTAGGTGTACATCGCACTACTGTGGAAGAATAAACACGAGTCGTCATACAGTATACCTAAAAATTTCCTTTACCGGGCGGGAGGTCCGCAAGGGAAAAAAACCATGCCCGAGTTCTGGGGTATGGCCCGAGTTTGAAAGGCCGCTTTTCCGTGATTGGTGGAAAAAATTTTCCCGACCGTGGACAGTGCTGTAAAAAGCTGCATCTGTTAAGAACGCGATTAACTAATCAGATTCCAGGATTTAACATTCAGGTTCGCTGAAATGCTTCGGAAAAAAAATAAAAAGTTGTCTTTCGGCGTACGCGGCAAAAATTCATTCAAATGCGAAATATTGTTATTAGCGAAAAGGTAGAGTGAATAAAAACCTGGTTGACTATTTAGAGCCTACCAAAATAAAATGGACCAAGACTTACCCATCACCAATAAGTGGACGCCTCTCATCATCTTTGGCGTGACCATCACCCTAAGATGACCAAAACAAAACATTGTTTTACTACATAACGCTTTTTTAGCGGCTAACTGGCTACCATAATGATGGAAAGTCTTTTGAGCATTGTATCTTCGTGGCGGATCCAGGGGGAGGGTCCGGGGGGTCCGGACCC